CATTTTTAGTGGGACTGTTGAAAACTTTTAAAAGAAGTCAGGCAAACAGCAGTCTGGTTTATGTTTTAGGCTAGCCTGTGCAGTTGGATTACAGGACTGTTCCTTGTCTTTGTTCCCAAGAGGCCAACTCTGCATCCAGTCAGCATTTATTGCTTCCCATTAGTCCCTTCAGTATCTCCCTGAAGTTTCTCTGATTTCAGTGCCTGGGAGGGATAGAAGTGGTGCCAGAAGACAGTCAGACTCACCCAGCTAAAGAGAACGGCTGAGTCTGTTGGCAGGGAATCAGTATTTATTTCAGTTTCTTAATTGTATTTTGCAAAGGTTTTAGACAAGGTAAAAACACAGACAGAGGGTTCTCCTACCGAAGGATTTTACCTTTGGGGTAGCAGTTATATGGAGGATTGTCTCCTTCCTGCAGTGACAGGGTTCTGCACAGTGACTTTGTGCTTTTGGCTACTGTAGGCAAACTTGTGTTCTTGAATAGCTTTTAGCAAAGCTCACCAGATAAACCATGAGTAGCTTCAGTATATTCCAAAAATTCGAAGAAATTGAGCAAGAAGGAAGGGCAATAAGATTGCCCCATGTTGGGGAAAAGCTTGGCACCTCTCCCTTCTCTGAATTAAAAAAAAAAAGAAACTTTTCTTAAAATAAAAGAGTAAGCCAACACTGAATTCTATTAGATATTCTCACAGTTTAAGGCATAATTGCATTGAAGTCTCTGGATGTGATCAGTGTCACTGGCTTGGTCAGACATCCATACAGTTAAATATCTGCACATGTTTCTTCATGTTTGTTGTCACTTGGAAAGTCATATTCTGAGCTGTTAAGGTATAGATTACCTTGCTGGGATGGTTGTTCTAAAGGGCTGTTTAGTGTTTGGAGCTGCGTAGGCTGTTAGTTTCCATGGTGTAATCCAGTTAAGCAATCATTTCCTGGGAAGTTTCCAGATTTGCTGAGTCAGTAGTCTGGCTGACTACCAGGAAAAACTAATTTATCTTTCTAACTAACCAGGCGTACCGGCTGAAGAAGAAGGTGCTTTGTGGAAGAGATTCTTGCTTTTGCAGTCAAAATAGGATAGTTTCTGTTTTCCTTTTCTTTCAGGAACTTTAAATTGCAGCATCTATCCAATGCTAGGAGTGCTGCAAGTTAAAGTTGAGGGATATTGACAGGAGTTTTGGAAGATATTGGGAGGAGAAGCTTGTCATTGACAAGATGGAGGAGGTACTCCTCCTCTTAATCGGCCACTCATCAGAGGGCTGTGGAGTGACCGCTCTGCCTGCTCCTCCCACGAATGTTCTGTCACCAGCTGCCCTTCCCTTGCTACCTCTGAGCAGAAGCAGAGGGTCACTTTGCCTCCAGCTGGAAGACGGCAGGAGTGCGAGTCCCTCAGACCAGGCTTGGGTGTGCAGGAGACCAGGGCCATGCCTGCTGATGTTTCTTCTAGTACGGGAGACAGTGAAACTCACCTTTACCTCTTACTTGACCTGCAGACACTGTAAATTAAGAATTGCTGGTGTGTTACGCGGTGTGCTATTGTGTAGCAGCCCAGTGCTTGCAGAATGGCAAAGAAAAGCCAAAATACTTTTCTGTAAATAGAAAAAGCTGATGAATGTTTTCTACAAAGAATTTGTTCCAATGAGTTTAAGCCTACCTATTTCCTTTCATTCGTTTTGAGGTAAAGGCAGTGAAATTGTGTTTTTCTGTTACTGAGCTTGTTATGGATTCTCAGTGTATTATTTTTAACAGAAATATAAGCAGCAGTTTGACTATTAAAATCATGTTGAATTATGGTAGGTACGAGTCTTGAAGACTGACATTCTGCAGTAGATCTTCCAATGTTTATCTTTTGTTTAGTATCCATTACTGCTTGAACTGTAGAGAATACTTCTGAATTACTAGCAAAAATGTCGTTAGTCACCTATTCTCTAACATTGCTCAGCAGCCATGTGAAGTTAGACTTGAAGTAAATCCTTCAAAAATTACAGCTGTGCATAGACCGATAAAGATTTTGATAAACAAGTTTAATAAACAATAGGACAAAAACTTTCTCAATGGTAACGTGGTATTTGATCAAAGCTGATGGTATGTGATATAATCATAGATGATGATCATGATAAATGATTGTTGCAGTTATCTTTCAGAAAGGATTGTGTCGATGTAGAGCACACAGAATTCACTTTTTGTCAACCTGACATTTTCTCAGAACCATCCAGAAGCATATACTAGCATATTAAAACTGAAAAAACTTGCCATCAGACTGAAAAAGCAAAAAATATAACAAATAATTTGTCCTACACTCATACCGTACCACACTTGAGGTTTGAGCAGACATCATCTAGACAGCGCATCTCAGTGGTCAGAGTTAATGCTGTAGGGAAGCCTGACTCTCTCTGTTAGTCATGTCAGTGTCTAAGATTAGTCTGAGTACATTTCAGCAACACTACTGAAGTTTCTAAAACCTGCGCAGCATATGGTGAGGAAAAACTGGACCAAACCAGCTTTCTGAAATCCGTTGAGCATGAGGTTAACTTAGATGTGGGTAGTTTGGACTTTTAAAAAGCTTTTAGCTGTATTCATTTGCCAAAATGATTTTTGATTTGGCAATAGTTTGGAAAATGAAGGCAAAGAATGACAAGACAAAGTAGATGTACTTCAGGTGATACTAGACAGGGTTCTAAGAGAGATCATAATGTTAGCAGATACTTGGATCACTCGTTCTTCAGAGAAATAGCTCTAGTGGTAAGAACAGTAAACTGAAATATTAATTTGTTACAGTGACATAATGAAAGCAAACAATAGAACTCTTTCGCCTTAGGAATTCTTACTCCTTTTCAATTGAAGTACATTTTAAGAGAATGGTGTCACTACATGTGAAAAGTCCACCAAATGTGCATATTCAGGACAAAGACAGCAAAGTGTTGTGACTAATGCCTTGCAGGTAGTGATTAGAATTAAGGAAAACCTTTAAAGAATGACTTAATTCAAAAAGAAAATACTTATATTAAAATGTAACGTCACATGTATAACTGTTCTTATTGTGAGCAAATTCAGAGCTAGGTATCTGACCATAGCATGGGGTTGAGGATGGGACTTTCGTTCCTCCTCTTGGGAGGAGCTCCTCTTGTGAGTTTTATCCTGTCCCCAGGTACTGAGGGCTGTCATTTGCAGGTGGTTTGCAGAAGGTGAGCGATGCAGTTGGTGCTGTATATATGTGCTCCCTCTTCCTTCCTGCTCGACTTCTGCCCTCCCTTCCAAGGCCCTGCTCGTGTTGACTTCCTAAGACTTAATGCAATCTGCCTTGGAAATATTAGGCAAACAATGTTGCTAACTAACATATATTAAATAAATTTAGTCCTAAATTAAGACTAGTTTGGGAGTTTTTTTCATGTGCACAAGTGCTTTACAGAGCACAAAGATCTGAAACTCAGGAAGTAAACACATAATATCAAAGTATATACTCACAATTTTTCCACTTTTATTCGTGATGAAGAAATGACAGGTACTTTCTTACTAAATCTGGTTTGTTTATGGTGATCACAGGTACCTGGCTCGTACAGTCTATTCTGCATATTTCTCCTTGATTTGGGAGGACTCCATTCAAGCGTGTGATGTTGGCATTGTTGTCAATTAGCACGGTAGCTCTAATGTTCAGGATATCTATTGCACGTGTGTCTTTGGAAAGACAGGTAGTTCTGCAGTATAATCAAAAGAAAAATGTTGATCTACACGGTAAGAAACCTGTCTTGACCATTGGAAGGAAGAAACTTTTCTTCCCTCCCCTATGGCAAAAAGGCAAAGCGTGGAACTCCTGAGGTGGTTCTGCCATCAAAATGACTTTCAAATTCCTCTTTGCTCCAAGATTCTCAGACAGAAGCATACAGAAATGTATTTTTATATTTTGGTGACCAGGAAATAATGATTAATCAGCCTTCTCAGATGCAGAATTTCCTATAGCATTATTAGTTTGAAACCAACAGTTTTTCAAGTTAGGCCAGTCTGAAGTTTCAGCTGCTACAACTTTTTGAACAGTGCAGGGTCACTGGGAATGACTTGGTTTCTAGCCTTCAATTACCAGATTATTTGCAGATGATGGTAAGAAGATGCAGAGTTTTAAATGATCAAGCTGCATCTTGTCACTTTTTTTTTTCTCCTTTCCATATTAACTGTGGCTGTAGTTTGGTTGTTTCTCGAGGGCAGTTCTTAGGAGAAGGCAGTTTTCTGGGTCAGCTGTTTTGAGTTGTTCTGGGGGTCATTACCATACTTACATATAAATGAATTTAGCAGAGAAACTTGTTCCTTTCAGGAATTCTTTTTATTCCAGACTGTGTGTCTCACTTCATACATAATTATATATATGTATTTAAATACCTGTTGTGATCTGTTGTGCATAATCTAAATGTGGTAAGGTTAACAATAGCAAAAATTATTAATAAAGGAGATGGACAACACTGATCCACTTTCTATCAAAAACCTGCATGCACATAGAAAAAGGTAATAATTTTGTTAATGTTTATACAAAAAAATACAGCCTTTCAAAGTTAGCTTTGATATAAAACAGAAAATGAGAGTTAAAAATAGCTTGTGTTTTTGTTGGAACACAAAATGGTTTTCTGAGAAAATTTTAGTGAGTATTTTAATTTTTATCAGATTTTTTTTTTAATAAAAACCTGTTCCAGCCACAATGTGAAATGTATGATAGTAGTGTTGGCAAAGATATTGTTTTTTTATAAGTTTTTTTTTTTAAAAAAAACCTGTTCCAGCCACAATGTGAAATGTATGATAGTAGTGTTGGCAAAGATATTGTTTGATATTATTCAAATTTTTCAGAAGCAGTCTGAGATGGGTATGTTGCATGTTCTGTTACTGTTTAAAAGCACTTACGTTACTTTTCATGACATATGACTTAGTGTTCTTGAGGTGAGTGAATATTTAAATATGCTATTCTTTTAAAAATTAATATATAATGATTATTTCAAATATTCTTTTTATGTATTTCCCAGCAAAAGACACCATCAGAATCATTCACTGGGCGAGAGAAGAGATCAAATTCACAGTCCTACATTGGACGGCCTATTCAGCTAGACAAGATCTTACTGTCCAAGGTTAAAGTGCCTCACACTTTTGTCATCCACTCTTACACACGGCCAACAGTTTGCCAGTACTGTAAGAAGCTTCTCAAAGGGCTTTTTAGACAGGGTTTGCAGTGCAAAGGTAAGTAAACGCCCTTTAGGAACATAAAAGCTAAGCATAATCAAATTAATAGATTAGTGTTTGAGTAGTTACTATGTGGCCTTACTCATGATTTCTTCACTAAACTATCTAGGTGTAGGCACACATACAATTATGTTGGATTAAGCTAAGAATCAAAATTACAGTAATTGCTGTTCTGCAGGAGCTGGCTGCATGGCTGTTCATTCTTACCCTGCGGTATATCAGCAGCAGCTTGCATCTTTTTCATGCAGGTGTAAATTATCTTGTACTTGGCTCTAGGTGAGCATGTGCTCACAGGCAGTTACAGCAGAACAGTGAACACAAAGGACTGTATTCTTATCTGCATTGTTTGCAGTCTACAAAGTCTTATGCTTGAATTGAAGCATGTGCATGAGTCCTAGCAGTTCAGGGGTTTGGGGGAGTTGTAATGGAAATAAAATAAGATGAGCTTATGCGAGAATTTAAAACCACATTTTTTCAATGTGACTAATGTGCTCTCAGGTCTCATGGTGTTGTACCTGAGTAGGTGCCAGAATGAATCAAGCCCCTTGGACTGTAGCCAAGGTGACTGGCTCACTTTATCCAACTTCAGTGCCCATAAATACAAAGCATTGTGCATGCTATGATGTTAGATAACATTGGCTAACAGATCCTTAAAATCACCTTCCTTCTATTAAAATAAACAATAATTATCATAGAATTAATTGGTATACTTTGTGTTGCCTCTTTGAACTAATACCCCGCAAAAATTCGAAGCTGCATTTAAGTTAAGATGTGATTCTGTTGTGATTTAACTAAAGCAAAATCTCTATGAATGCGTCATCTGTTTCACTTCATTTTGAATCCCAGTGACATTAGAAAATATTAACCTGATTTTTTAAAAAAATATTTACGTACAGTTTGGCACTGCTGTACCTCAGCTGGTTTTTAGATCAACCGAAGTTAAATAATTACAAGGACAACCTTAGTATATTTCTTCCTTCTTGACTCTTTGGTTTTCCAGGTGTGTTAATAAGTTACAGCTTTTAGTTTAGGTAAAGCGTGTTCCATATGCCAAAACAAAGCAGTTAAGATGACATCTAATAAAGTGCTACTTACAGATAGGAAAAAAGTAAAGGTAGAGTGAAATAAACATATCTGGAAAATAAGGAAGGTATTGAAGGAACCCTCCACCTAAAGCTGTCTAGAAGTTGTTTTGAGTATTTTCTCACTTATAATTGTTGGCTAGAGTTCTGCTGTTTCAATTTTCAGTCGTCAGTATTGGATATGTAGTCAATCTCTGGAGCTGCAGTGGGTGTACTGCAGCCCAATCTGCTGCTTTCACTGGAAAAGCAGCTCTGGCTTTGCAGCCAAGCCCTCGGGACTCCGGATCACTCCCCTAGAAGAGTCAAGCACAGGCTACAGCTACGGCTAGTGCCTGCACCCAGCTGCCCTTGGTGACGCTTTCCTTTCCCCTCAGGGAAGCACACTTGCAGCATCTTCATCCTGTCCCTTCCATGGGCAGGTGGCCTGCATCCCAGCTAAGGAACGCTCTCTGGACACGTCAACTTTGTATTAGTGAAATGGTAGGGCTTGACATTTATAGGCTGGATAGCAGAAAAAAAAGTTAGTCGTGTTGCAGAAAAAGAGACATAATTTTACTGTATCCCTTGTTTTCTTATCAGACTGTAGGTTCAATTGTCACAAACGCTGTGCTCCGAAAGTGCCAAATAACTGCCTGGGAGAAGTTGCCATTAATGGAGGTAAGTTGCCTTAACTATTGTTTCTGCCACTGTTTAAACCACCAGTTAAATAGAAATGTAACACTGTGTCATGGACAAAGACACGTTTTTCCATTGCTTGAGTGGCCTTTCCTCCGCAGTATTTCCGTTGTACGTCGAAGCTGAAGTGTGGGAGGAACCCTACGAATGGTTCATATGCCATCAGCGCAGAGCGCGTGTCTTCCAAATAGGTGGCACTGACAGATGGGCTCAGCCGTGCCCCGGAGGTGGTGTCAGCAGCCGAGCAGCTGGCTGATCAGAGCCTGTTGGATGCAGGATGCCAAAGTAAAGCAAAAAGCCACGTGCATGAGAAGTTGGCATTCACCTGTCAGATACAAGCACAAAATTGCTTTTTAATCTGGTGGGGGGAAATAGTGTTTGTTTTAGGATAATCTTCCTGAGAAGGAAAAGTACACCTGGAAGAACTGGGGAGGCCTCCCACAAAAAAATTCCACCACTTACTGTTGGCGTAAAACTAATGGTATCAGTTGCCAGAAATAAAAGCTTGAGTATCTGCCGATTTTCCCATACATGTGCTGTCGGTTTTGTGTCAGCTATAGGAATGTATGGGTAGGCTTGACAGACGGTACTGGAGAAAAAGCGGGTGGTTGTAGATGAGTTGTTGATTGCCTTTAAAATGTCACTTTTCTATGTGATAAGGGAATGAGAAGTGTGGTAAAGAGTTCAGCTTCTAATGCGTATTACTATGTTAATTTGTCAGCCTAAACTTGTCATGAAGTTAATATAAGTATTGCCTTATTAGGTATCCTTTTTCAAACTTTAAATCGGTGACCTACTTTACTGAAGAGCTATCAAGAATTTCTGAAGTCAGGAATGTTAACTAATATTTTTTGTAGTATTTCCCATGGTATTGTGACTGTGTTACTACAAAGTTTTTTCTGTTTAATGGCAATTAGTGTAGGCAAAAATATATCAGATGCCGAGTATCCAACTTGAAATGTGATAAGGTGCATGATTTTCTGGAAGGTTGGTGTTGCACTCCTACTGCATGTTCGTCTCTGATGCACCTCAAACTGGACTCTTGAACTCACTATTATTATTGAGGTTTTTTTAATCTTTACACCATTTATAGCTCACTTCACCATTAACCATCCCACAACATAACTCTCTTCAGGAATGCGAGTAATGATGCTTATGGAAGTTTAAGGCTTGATTTTCAAATCCGAGAGCTAAACATACACCATGATATGTTAATTCCATTGATAACAGTATAGAGTTTTTCCTGAGATTTGCAGTCAGAGAAAGTAGCTAAAGCTGCTTATAAATGATAAAATTTTTCCTGCATAGGTGAAGTTTTTAGAGAGGAGTGCAAAACAGAATTAGTGAAAAGTGCTAAGAGAAGACAGGAAGCCAAGCCTTGTTTCTGGACAGCTGCACTAACTGAACAAAATTTACATTTATTTCTGAATTACTCCTTGAAGTTCCCTCTTTCCATCTAAGACAGCTGTATTTCTTCCCTCCAGCACACCCTCTGTGCCTTTGCCCCACAAGCAACATGCTACTTTTGTTGACTTGCCCCCTACGTATGAATCTGATCCCGGCCTCACAGGAAGTGGTGGTTTGTCTGAGGAAGAACTGAGTGAGGAAACCTTCTGCAAAGCCACTTGGAGTGAGAACACATACTCCAGGCTTACTCCAAGTGTAGTTCTTGAAGCTCTCTGTCTTAAAATTCATAGCATTTGGCTTTTCCCCACCAAATAATATCCATAGTATGGTATCCATAGTGTCAGAGTAGGACTCTTAATTGTGTGTCCTAAATGACTCATAGTAGGGTCCATAGGATTATCAAAGGCAATTTCATCCTGGTATCTCATTTCTCTTTTTAGAGTAATTTGGATTATTTTCAAACTTAATAAATAAATACAGTGTCTGTCACTCTGTCCATCTGCTGTGTGATGCATCTTCCCCAAAATAGCAAGTGAAGGAAAGCTGAAGCAATAAAATTCCAAGTATGGTCTCATTAATAAACACATTAAATACTAAATGTGGGAGGTTATTTTTAACTGGTTGTGGGTTTATTAAAAATAGAGATTAAAAAAGTGGTGTAGGAATAGCAAAGAGAGAGCCTTGCACTGTGAAGTGTCATTCATGACTGGATGACTGTTTCTGCTAGAGATGAAGTATAATGTGTCCTTAATCACACATCAGTAACTTATATCCAAACATTTTAAGACTACTTTACATGAAAACAAACCTTTCAACTGTGCACTTCCGATTTGAGTGAAGTGCTATCAATTCAAAACATTTTGCTGTCAGCCAGTTCAGCATGCTTTTTCTTTTGGGGCATCCTCTATATTGACTGTCAAGAACTTCCCTCCACACCATTAGGCAAAAGTTTCTCGATGAGAATATTTGGTGTATTCTATGTGACTTTACGTTACTTCAGATTCCTGGAACGCTGGAAACATCCCAGAAAAACTCTTGCTGTCTCTTCTGTCTGACAGGACTGATGATTTTGACCTGTTATATCACAGCCTGTGTAGCAGCAGGCTGAGTTTCAACAAAATGCCCTTTTTTGTGTTTGTGGGTTTTTTTTAAATTATGGTTTGGTTTTGTTTGGTTGGTTTTGTAAAGTAAGTCCTTAGGTAAATACGTTTAAAATTTTCCTTTCTGTCTTCCAGATAAATCTATTCATAAGCAGCAATACAATAAAAAGTTGTTTTTTTCATTGATCTTGCTCAGGCATATTTAATCTTGAAATTGGAAAGTTGAACATAATTTAAATATATGCTGGAAAGTACTATTAATACTATGCCATAATCAAATAAGTTAAATCCTATGTCTGTATTTTTTTCCTATGCTATCTTACATTGGACTTTCTGACATTTATTTAATATTTCTTTTCTAAAGGCAGGGAGTGTTATTTCAATAATATAGGTTACTGCGCCATATTGTGCAGCCTTCACAGAGAACACTGGTGCAAAGAAAATATCTTTTTTTCCCCCCAAATATAGTTCACATTGTAATTAATTTTCTTGGGAGTTATTTCAGTAGTTCATCGTCATGTCATCGTCATATTACAAAATTCCTGGTTTTGAAATCACTGCTCTTCTGGCATCAGTTTGCAGCTGTAGCCTGCCAACAGCCGTTAAGCCAGTATAAAACATACAAGCGGTATAGAAAATCTGCCAGATCTCAGAAATAAAGCTCATGGTTGTAGAATGTTTGATAGAAATCCATGGATAAGAAATTTTGCCTTGACTCTGGCATTTTGTAATAGAAAGTTATATTTCTGAAAGTATTTTGGTTTGATGCATATACAGTTTTCTGTAGTGATTTTCTCAATGGCTGGTTACAGACCACGCTTCACCAGTACACACTGAGTAGAGATAGACCCAAAGAGAACCTGAGTTTTCCTGAAGCTAGAAGTGTGTTAGGATGTTGGGATAGGAGTATTGTATGTTTTCAGATAATAACTTCAGAAATGATATTCCAGATCTCCTTAGTCCTGGGGCTGAGTCTGACGTGGTCATGGAAGAAGGGAGTGACGACAATGACAGTGAAAGAAACAGTGGTTTTATAGATGACATGGAAGAATCTATAGCTCATGATTCCGAGATGTCAATGACAGGATGCCATAGTGACAATGGCGAAATGCAGGATGCTGATCTAGATCACGATGAGTCTAACAGGATGATCAGGTGAGTGTACCTTCCATCTTCTTTTGTATTTATTTGTAAGTGTCATGCCTAGGGGTCAAGGGGGAATCTACATGGACCCTATTCTCACTCCTTGAGAATGGAGAGAGCCAGTGATATGTGGTCGTTCTGAAATTGCGGTGAGATTGCCTCACTGAATATCGGCAATAGGAATTTAAGAGAAACTTTATTGTCAATTTGAAGTAGCAACTGAAAACTGATGCACAAGTAATTGTTACGGGTCTACCCTTTTATGAAAATTACATTGTGAAACCTTGTGCATAAGCAATAGAGAGCAATTTTTTTTCATTTATTTTCCCAAGCATTTTTTCCCTGACTAAAATTGCAATGCCTTGTCATTTAAATTAAAAAAAAAAAAAGAAATTATGTAAGTGGCTGTGGTATAATCGCTCTAGATTAATTATTTGTGTTTTTAGATACCTTTAGAAAGAAGGAAAGTTTGACAAACTTGTAGTAGTAGTTTCAAGCAAGTTACAAAATAGATCAGTGGTTTGAAATGACTAATCAGGAAGGAAAACATGAATTGAGTTGTGCAACTTACCTTAGAAATGTCTGAAGAGAAGGAAGCATTATTCACTTATTGGAACTGTACAGACTAGTAGGATAAAAAGTAGGTACTATTCATTGTCAGGGAACCTAAAATGAATTAAGGTCCTTTCAGCTGTGATTTCCTTGATGCAAGGGATCTGTACCTTGAGGAATTAATAGAATATTTTTCTTTCGTGGGTCCCAGTTTGACCTGCAGTCAACTTTTTTATTTTGCTTACTAGGAGTCTGTTTGGGTAACATGTTCCCCTTAGCTCTCTTACTAACCTATACACCTGTTGCACTGATAGAAAGCGATCCGTTTCAACAATCTGCAGTTTTACCTCTCGCAGCAGTGAACTGTTGTTCCTACTGTCATATTCATCTGCATAGACACTATCTATAGATACCTGGTGTCACTGGAATGTAAGCCTGTGCTTATATCACAAAATCAGTGTCATATAACATTTTCAATGTCCAAGTTACATTAAATAGAGAGCATTGCAGGTTTTTAAAATATAAATAGCCAATTATAACTAATAAAAATATTCATAACCAAGGTACGTGTTTTACTTAGTTGAGAAGCATCCCTGTATTTCCAGTAATACCTTTGTAATGTATGCAGTAATACATTCATATGGGTCGTCTCTATGTCCATGGATTGTTTTTAAGTTATCTGTTAAAAGCAAATAAAAAAGTAAATATCTTGTCAGTATAGACAAGAATAGTTATATAGGGACTGTAGCTCACTTGATCATTTTTAGCAAAAGAGAGATGTTAATTGCATGTTACAGTCTTAATGAAACTTTAAGACAGTACACGTTTTGTGTTTTGATCGGAAACTGCCAATTCACAAAATGTTTTATTGCTAGGATGCATTACAGTGAAGCAGGGCCATCCGCAGACATCCACGGTCAGAACAATTGTCGATACTTAAGATATTATTCTTTTCCTGGGTGGTTTCTGCCCTTTTTTGTAGGAGTTGTTGCACCAATAGCTTTGCATGAGCTCTCTGTGCTGTGTTTTCACATACAATGCAGCATCTCCGTTTAAAGTTCTGCCAGAAATAACTAAGCATGATGAGTCCATATTCCATTATGCAGAATCTGCTCTAAGAATGGTTGACTCCAGCAGCAAGGAAAGTGGGAGAATGGGCTTGGCTTCTTAAACGTCTCCAACTAGATAGTCCAGATTTTATCTGACAGTGCTATCAGACATACTGTCAAGTTCCCATGCCTTCCCAACTTACTGCGTGTCAGCAGATCGTGGAAAGTTTCAGCATGCATACCCCAGAGTGCAAGGCAATTGGATGTTGCTTTAGGTCTTTGAAGATAAAATGTATAGCTTAAACCTCTTTCTCTGAGAGGTTCCAGCATATTCTCTGCTGTGCCCTGCCAGGGTACTCACAGCTGGTCAGCTCACACATTTTCTGCTCTGTAAACCATTAGAAATCCACTGTCTGTTTGAACCCAAGAAAGATCACAGGACAGTAATCTGATGGACAGTGTTTACTTCAGTTAGGAGAGATTCAAGATCAAGTACTGGTCTGAATCATGCATAGCACAGGCTTGAGCTATGGCTCCCACACCCTAGCTGAGGCCCTAGTCATTGGCCCATCTTCTTAGCTCATCTTTAGGAATATTTCTGGGAGAGAGAGAAAGATGGAGAGTGTGTGTTTGTATGTGTGTGTGTGTGTAAGCCTTCAGAAGGTCTCTGACATTCTCCTGGTGTAACATTATTTTTTTCCTTTGTAACGTCAAGATACTTGGAACGACAAAACAAAATAGTGTCCAGTCCAGGTCTGATAGTGATGATAAATATAAATGTGGATATGAGATACATGTTTTCTGATTTAAAAGAGCTGTTTTTTCATCCTAAATTGTCTTCTTGTTGTAAAAACCTTTATTGATTTATTCTTAAGCCCTTCAACCAGCAATAATATTCCATTAATGAGAGTGGTACAATCTGTGAAGCACACAAAACGAAGAAGCAGCACAGTGATGAAGGAGGGTTGGATGGTTCACTATACAAGCAAGGACACACTGGTAAGAAATGTAAAGAAAGACCTGTCTTACCGTACATACTACATGATAGTACAGAATCAAGTCCTAACAATACTTTCAGAATTTACAGTCACTCATGTAAGACCTTTTTTGCAGTATTTGTGATTCCTAAAGTCCTGACTCTTGTCACAACTGAGGACTGGCACTGCTTGTAAGAAACAGGAGACAGCTGAAACACACGAAAACTGTCTGAATGTGTCAGTTTCATTATCATAGGCAGCCAAATGTGAAGACACTCTGAAGGAAGGAAAAAATAATACTAGCACCTTAGGGGTTCTGGAAGGTAGCTTTACCTTCCAGCTGCAGTCTCCTTGATATCTTACTGCTAGGTGAATTGAGAGTTTTGTAAAATAGATTTAGTGTAGAAAAAAAATTATTTTCATTCCGACCTGCTAAAACAGGAATAAAGACTCCGGTATGTGGCCTTCTGAAGTGAGCTGGAGTGTTACAACTGATACAAAAAAAAATCTGAAATGTTCTAGCCACATACCTGTAGCAAATTGTGCTGAATGTAACGCAGATGTCAAAGGGACATTTTAAATTATTAAAACTTGAACAATTTGAACGGTGTTAGGTTATTACCAAAACAACAGAGGAGTCTTATAAATTCGAAACTTAAATATAAAGTCCTCATAAAAATCTTGTAATAGCAAATGAATCTTTATCATTTACAATTCATCTCTTCAGATTTAAGTGAAACATTTTTAAGTGATGCTTTTGAGAAATGAACATATCATTAGTTTACTTGGAAAACACTAGAAAGATTTTTCCCTTGTTTTTCATTACAGAGGAAACGACACTACTGGAGACTGGACAGCAAATGCATTACACTTTTTCAGAATGATACTGGAAGCAAATATTACAAAGTAAGGAATATTTTTCAATCTCTTTCGCTACCAGCAGAATATAATGACTGAATTGCTGGATTAATGGATACTTACTAAAAGTACAGTAGTAGTTTAACTTTGATCTATGTTTGTTTTCATTATTTAAGAATATTCATTATGCGTGTTTTGCCTTTCACAAACAAGTCTCAGGTCAGAAAGGTGTCAGCTAACAAGGATCTGTAAAATACATATTGCGGAAATGGAAGGTTTTTATACAGGGGCAATTCAGTACCAGGGACAAATTCTGCCATGAAACTCATCTGACATTCTGTCATTCATAATACAAATTCTGTCCAAACAATTGGTGGTTTTGGAATCTTAATGTTGAATACATTTATTCTGCAAATAATTTATTGCAAATCAGTTTTATTAAAGGAGTCAACAGGGTTTAATTTTCTAGTGGAGTTCTGTTGATATGTGGATGGGCTTGCTCTTTTCTGATGGCACCTTACTCATCTCTCTGATGAGTTTAATTGAATGAGTAAAATTCTACTTGGTCTTGGACAGAAATCTTTAGTATTTTAACATCAACAGTCCTCTGTGTCATGGAGTTTCAGGTTACAAGAGCCTTTTTTGTTTGTACAAGAATCATGTGGTTAAAAGCAACAGCTAATATCATAAATTAGTTAAATAAAGTTCATGCTTTAGTTTTGTATGTTGAAAATCTTTACACAGAAAATAAATCATTTTTTTCATTAGGAAATCCCATTGTCTGAAATTTTGTCTCTGGATCCTGCAAAAACTTTCACTTTACTGCCTCAAGGAGCCAATCTTCATTGTTTTGAAATAAGCACAGCAAATACAGTCTATTATGTTGGAGAAAACATAGAAAACCTCTCAAGTGTTCCACTGAATAACAGTGTTATCACCAGTGGTATTGGCATTGATGTGGCACGAATGTGGGAGATGGCGATACAGCATGCCCTGATGCCCGTCATCCCTAAAGGGGCATCAACTGGCTCAGGACCCAGCCTGCACAGTAAGTTTATTCTTTTTCTCCATTTCAGATAAGTAGAGTCATATCACAAGTGGCATTGCTCAATCATCTGCACACGTTGAAAGGAAGTATTGCACAGCCAGTAAAGGCTGTTCTGTCATGGCTTATCACCTGTCTGCGTATTATTTTTAACGCCGCAGTTTCACATCCATGTGTTTCAAATTTACGCTAAAGCATCTGTGTTAATATAGAAGATGCAGATTTGTTAGCGAGCAAATAGCTGTTCTGTTTTGTAAGGTATCTCATCCACATTTGTGTTGCTGATATAATAGCCTCCTTATGCAGAGGCATGGAGGTTTCTGAGATCCAGTTGGGAATTGATAGATTTTTCCCATCATGACTCTAAGGTACGTTTCTAGCTATCTGCAGAAGCAGCTCTTCACTGCAGCATAGATGATATACTCCCTTTCATCACATTTGGCTCTACAACTGCCACAAATGTTATCCCATGCTGAGATGAAATGAGCTCAAGCATGAAGAACAGCTGTTCTGAGCACAAGATGTGGATGTTACCCAGGACCAAAAGGACCGAATGTATCTTTGCCCCAAATTTATGTACATTTGAGGAACTCTCGAGCAAAGATGACATCTTATGTAAACCAAACATGAAACTCGTTTAAATCTAGCTCAGGTACTGATGACAAAGTAGCACAGTCCAAACAATTCCCTGCTACTAGGCGTGTGCTGCTGGCTGCTCATACTCAGCCTAGTTAGTGTAGAGCAAATTTGAGGATGTCTATGCAATTTGGATTAGACCTTTTGTTGCAATATACACCCGCTTTAGCACTTGACATCTGGATGCTATTAATGCAGCACAAAACGCTAAGGAGACCCCAAGCCCTTCAGGAACCAAATGATAGAGCAGGCTGTGACATTGCGTCTCCAGGCACAGCAGCTCACGTATCAACTTAGATCAGCTCTGTCTTTTGCTTTCTTGACTGGATTCCTGCATAAAATAGTGTCAAACTCTGGATGTCATTTCAGTCAGGCTAGTTGCCTAGTGCCTCTGCTTTGAGCCCAGCATAACTAAACAAATCACCTAAAATGCTGGACTGGGAATGACAGCTGTCCTCTCTTGGGAAGTTTTCTTTACAAGTTAGTCGTTATCTTTGGGGTTTTTGTGTGAAAATCAAGGTCATCTGAGACCTTTAGAACAAACTCCTCTGGGAACTGAGAATGACAGCAACCTTCTGTCTTCCCCTCACAGTCTTTGTCCATGCTTTTTTTTTTCATGTAAACACAAAGCAGTATGTACATTTGAAAACAAACTGGTAATGAAAAAAAGCCTCTACATAACCGAAACATTCCATTCCAAAAACTGTCTATTCCTAAGAAAAGGATGAGGGAATAAGTCACACGGGGCAGAAGTTACTCGTGCTACTTACTGCAGCTAGGAAAGGTGCTGATGGGCAGTGATGAGTGTCTTCAGTGTGTAATACGGGCTTTATAGTAAAGAACACTGGTTTTGATGAGGCTGAAATCCATACTAAGAAATTCTAGGCAGCACCTAGCAATAGACATATTCTCAAGCTTTATTGAAACCCTCAGTAGGTTTGCAGTTCAAAATGCTTATGGTAACATCCTAAGATCTGATTTTGTAGAGGTTGGATCTGATACTTGTTGTATTAAAGCACAAGTTCAAGTTTTTATTTCCATTATGTGTTTTAATAAAGTCTCCAAAGCCAGTTGAAATGTGTATTACTTCTAACAGTATGCGTACCAGTTTTGAGTATCGGCATGAAAAGCATAAAGTGCATTGCAGATGACGCTGTAAATAAAAATGGTTATTAAATCCACTAAATAAAACCAGTTTACCCTAGTTGCAGTTGTGTTATTTGCATGAGGTATAAAGCCCCCAAAAAGAATGCACAAAAGCAATAGTAAGCTTAAAAACAGGAATTATGAGATTCCACTGTTAAAAAATTAATAATGACATGTATAATTCTGTTCTTTACCATACACTGCAAAACTGTTGTTCACGTCACATATTTGTGGGCCGGTGTAATTTTATATTGGCTGGTAGATGAACAAGCTGACCTAATTGGTCCAATTTCTAGAGCTGTCAGTAGATATTGATGTAACATAAATGTCATTTCCTATTACTACATGTTTGAACTAAAAGCACAGCAATCTAAAGTATATTTTACTTTCTTCCCTAGGGGATATATCCATCAGTATTTCTGTGTCAAACTGCCAAGTTCAAGAAAATGTGGTGAGTATTCTCTGGATGCTGGTGCTAGACGTGCTATGATTAAGCTTGCAAAGTCATCGATCTGTTTTGCAAAGAGGAATGTTGGAGAGGAGTTCCCATCAGCCATTTTGCTTACTTTGTAGAAATTAACAATTAGCTTTGCTAACTTCTGAGAACAATCATCTTCAGGGCACCTTGTCTTGAGACACGAGAATTACGTATGAGTAATGCCTCTTAACACAGAATTTCACCACGTGTTCTTGCAGGATGTTAATTGCCAAAAGGAAAAGCGAGCTGTCGAAGTTATTAGTGCATGGGATTTCTGTCAGCTGAACTTTGTAAAGCTAATCACAAGCCTTGATAAGTATGGTGTTTCCTGTCATCACTGAGAGATCAGATATTCTCTGTTGTACAAAGATGAAGCAGCTCTGTCTGAAGGAAGAGTAACATATGGTGTTACACATATGTAAAGAATTCTGAGTTTCTTTTACCTAGGATTGTTAGACACAGGACATGTGGTCAAGGTAAACAGTCAAACCACTGATCTTCTGTCTGATGGGCAGAGGAAATAAACAGGACTGCCTGCAGCCAAGTACAGCTTTGAGGCAGCTCTGGCATTTGCCAGAAAAATGCCTGGGAAGGATGTGTACATTTGTTTGTGAAGAAAAAGCAAGACAGCCTTTTTTATCAACTCCTTGGCATTCTTTTACTCTTCTTTGTATCTGCTGCTGGTTAAATATCAGGAAAATGAAACTGAGCTCCAAGATTTGAGGTTTGTTTGAGTCTCCCAAATGAATCCACTAACAGCTTGTGCTTTAGCCTGTGTTTAGGCACTAAGAAATAGTGAGATGTCCTCTCTGGCATGGATGGAATATTTTACCCCCCTCTCAGTGGACAAACGCAAACAGCCAAAGCCCAGAACAGCTGATGCTCACAAAGCTGTCAATAAACTGAGAAACCACATGCATTGCTGTGGCTGACATAGTAACTTTTTCAAGAAAATTTTAAATTAATAATTTCTCCGTTTTCATAAAAACCAGCAGTAATTCCTAGATCTGGGATCTTGGGACTTTCAGGGTGGAACGTTGCTAACAACACCCTCTTTAATTCCATATGTACTTTCACCTTCAAATTTCATAAAGATAAAGTGTAATGTTGTGCGCTGGGGGCTCCTGGCTTGGCAGATGGCAGCAGCTGGAACCTGTCAAAGATGCAGCAGCTTTTACAGCAATTGCAGTAAACGTGGCTTTGAAGAAAACTTGCACGAATGTTTTTGGCAGATAATGGGTTTTGAAATATACTGTAGTAAATGTGTGCTACTTCCCGTTAGAAAAATCAAATGGAATACAAATTTTGTTTCCATATCTGAGGGCTTAATATTTCTCATGTTTATATAAACAGGATATTAGCACTGTATACCAGATCTTCCCAGATGAGGTGTTGGGATCAGGACAGTTTGGAATTGTTTATGGAGGTAAGGCTTTGGTGTGCTGTACGCTTATGCTTAAGACAGAAAATTTCTTGAATAGTGAAAGTATTTGGGCTCTGAAATGTTACAGAAATTAGCTACCCATTGTTTTATACAAGCAGTATTCATTAAACAATGAAACTGTTTTTTTGCTGACAAAGCTGTTTTGTAATTTGAAGTTTTCAACGCAGTAGTGGGTCAGTGCATATCAATAGCTTCATATTCTCTGTAAGTTCTAGGAAAGAAAACCCTGAAGTGCAGAACACTGTTCTTTTTGAGAACTGTAATTGAAGAAGAAAAAAAAAGTATAGTTTCTTCTTCCTGCTGTTTTTCTTGGCATGTTTTTATGAGGTTTTCTCCTTCATTTTTCAATAGTTTGTTACAATTGTTTCTTTTTTATACATTTTCATAATAATTTTGCCTCTTTTTTCTCCTTTTTTCAGCAGTTTTTGGGGGTGTATTTAGGTACAGCTGTTGTTTGAGACAGTGTGAAATGAGAACTAACTATAAATTTCTCACTGAAGAATCTCTGTGAGTCTCTGGTAAACCTGGGACATGCACTCCCATGCCTAAAGACAGTCACCTATATCATTAGTTGCTAGTCTGGAACTACTATTGAAGGACTAAGCATACAACCTGCCAACTGCAGAGAATGCAGCTTAAGTAGATCAACAAGCACAGAGAGAGAGAGAGAGATAACAGAAAGTTAACTTTGTATCTGTATTCTTGAAATGCAGAGCTGACTTTCTCATATGTGTATGTTTCTTACATATTTAAACAGTGTTGTAGATGATAATGAGAAAAGATCTCTTGTCAAAGGATAGAAGTAAGGGAAATTACAGGAAACTTTTAATTACTTATGTGACTTAATTTGCTGCAAACCTGCTCTGAGAATTACTTGGTTGTGGTCATTTGTACAGTCCAGTGAAAGTGGAACATTTTTCAGAATTAATCGTGTTAATTGATAGAGGCCTTTTGTTTTAATAATGCAGGAAAACATCGTAAAACAGGAAGAGATGTTGCCATTAAAATAATTGACAAACTAAGATTTCCAACTAAACAGGAAAGTCAACTTCGTAATGAAGTTGCAATTTTACAGGTATTTTCTTTTTTTTTTTTACTGTATTAACTCCGTTTATGCATTACTATAAATATCAGATAATATGATAATTATTTTAATTGATAATCACCAGTATTTTGTAAAATAAATAAAAATACTAGTATTTTTGCTGCTGAATCTGCATAAATAGCCAAGACCAAATGTATTTGGAATGTAAAGCTAAGAATTACAGTTGCTGCAGTTTTAAGCACCAGGAAGAATAAGGAAAGTGTGTGTTTGTTAAACTGATTTGAAGTTCATCCATTCTCCTATACTGTCCCTAGAAATTTCATGCCTGTTGCCTACAGATTAGGCACACAGTTTAAATTACGGAAGACTGAAATGTCGCCTGGTTTAGGGAGGTCTGAGGACTGGCTATGTAACGATAAAACCTACTAATCATGTTGGGAAATCTATGTTACTCGAGTGCTGTATTTATCTTTAATAGAATCTTCATCATCCTGGGGTTGTAAATCTGGAGCTGGAGATGATCTTATCAAGTGAAAAGGGCAGATTGCCAGAGAGAATAACAAAGTTTTTAATTACTCAGGTAAGAAATTAAGTATAGACCTAGGAGAGATTTGAGGTCAGTTACTATCCCAGTTTTGTATGTTTTGCTTTTGCTGTAATTTACCTGTCTGATTTATGAAAGCCTGAATCGTAATACCAGGGATGGTACAGACAGCTTTGTGTACCTTATCTGATAGGTAGTAAACCATTAGAAGGACCTAGAACTAGACACATGTGCAGCTGTCTAGCTGCTGGATGAAGGGCCATCAAGCTACTGTTTCTCATACGCCTGAAGAATTAAGCACAAGAAAGGGATGCAAAGCACTAACAGCAAACTGTTGAAGACCTACACAAAGAAATTTGGGCCTCTTGAACTGCCCCATATCTTACCACTGTGGTTCATACCATGCACTTTTGGGCATGTTTTCTGTGCAGAGACTGTATCTCAGCACTACCTCTGATTAAGTTAGTCTGGTTTCCTGTATGAATTCTGTTAACAATGTGGTCTAGGGGGCTTTTTTTGTTCTTCTTGTTGTCACATTATCATATTGCTTCTTTGGCTGCCCATAATACTGATTTAAATTTAGGTACAAATTAAGTTGTGAGCCACCTCAGAGTCAGAACAGTCTGTTTCAGCAGTCAGGAAAAAGAAAGAAGCTGGAACAACAGTGTTACAGTGGAAGTTTGTTATTCAGGGTAGAATGTAGTAGGTTGCCTAGTTTTCAGCCTTTCACAGGTGAAACTGCCACCAGCTTCAGAATTGGGTTTCTTGTCTTCCCAAGTTCATTCAGCCTCCTCGTCATTCCCTACTCTAATATAGTGGGAAATTCTGCCAGCCTCTCACCAGACTCAAGGGAAGGAGTTAAAGCCACAGGAATAGGAGAAAACTTCTGTCACATTCTGTCACATTCTCTTGTGTGTCTAACAGAATAAAAAAAACCCATGCAAGACACCCTATGCTTTCTTCCCTCAAGAAAACGTTTTAAATGGATCACATAATATTTCTGTGAAATTTTTTTAGTGGATTTAGATCTGGAAGGTCATTTTGCAAATGTTCCTGCATCCAAAGATGTCACACAAAAAAAAAAGTACAAAAAGTACTTAGAACCCATTTAAAAAAAAAAAATGTTTAGAATATGAAGTCTTTTGAAAGGGAAAAGTCATATTCCATACTGTGAAACGTCAAGAAAACTTGAGGCACAGTAAATAATAGCTGACATTTTTGCTATTTTTTTTTCCATTGTAGACTTTGTTGTAAAAGGTACATTTTTGTTGGATTGTTTCTCTCTGCGCCTTGATCCTCTGATCACTAATATTGTCTGAACATTATAAAAGAAAAAAAAATACTTTTAAAACTGAATTTTTTTCTGATTTATTTCTTCACAGATACTTGTTGCTTTGAGACATCTTCATTTCAAAAATATTGTTCATTGTGACCTCAAACCAGAAAATGTGTTACTGGCATCAGCTGATCCTTTCCCACAGGCAAGTAGAAAATGCCCTTTCTTAAATGAATTGTTCAAATTAATAAGTGTTAGCAATGATTTTATGAACAAACAAAAAAGTGACTAGTGACCTCTCTGTATCTCCTCCAGGGACTACACAGAAATTTTAGATATCAAAAAAAATGTTCACTTATTCAAAAAGCTTTCCAAAGAAGACATGTTTGAAAATCCTCACCTTTTGTCATTTGCCTACAATATTAAACTAGATTTTCAAGTGTGACATAACTACTTGTGTGATTGTTTCTAATGTGCTCACCATTACAGCACTAATTACTTATCTGGTTGATTAGGTCCAGAGAAGTGACAATTTGCAAGCAGTCACTGGAAAGACAGTTATTTTTCTGAAAGTTAGGGTAGAGCTCAGGAAGAACAAGAGCTGCTTCTTTAAGTTTAGGAATTTAAATGCCAGGTAGATTGCAGAGTATTTAAATACACTTTCTGGCTCGTTGTATTTCTCAGTCGAAGGTATTTGTATCAGCTCCTGTTAGCTTTCATCTGCAGATTTCATCTATAATCTCCTCCAACTGCCCATATTCAAAAGGACCGCTGTTGATAATTTGTAAATAATACCAATATCAATAATTGGAAAGGAAGGATCTACACTGAGGCATTAAGTGAGGATTTTTAAGCTGCTAAATCTGTCCCTCTGAAGAAATGAGACAAGGAATTCTGCAGAGAGGCAGGGTGTAACTAGGTCCACAATAAAATGAAAGTGAAAGTTCAAGAACTAAATGTTGTCAATTTGCTTGATTCAGGAAAAAGCCATAGGTAAAACAATTTTTCCGTTTGCCATGTTTTTATGCTGTGAATGAATAAGCATTACTTTACTGCTTTCACCAGGAGCCTGAGCTGTTAGGCCCATCCAAAACTGCATTTCTTTCGTTCTAAGCTGCCCTGCGCTGCTGCTTTTACCATGCTTTATTCATGGAGTGAAGGAGTAGAGGAGTTTTAAAAAAAGGTGTCCTTGAAGAAACAGTAGGAGATGCATCTTGCAACTAAACCATGACAAAAGTTCCTCAAGTACATATTTGATAATAAAAATAATGGCTGTCTTACGGTAGCACTTTTCTTTAAACAGGTAAAACTTTGTGATTTTGGCTTTGCCCGAATCATTGGAGAGAAATCATTCAGGCGTTCAGTTGTGGGAACACCAGCGTACCTTGCTCCAGAAGTGCTGAGAAACAAAGGCTACAACAGATCTCTGGATATGTGGTCTGTGGGTGTCATCATTTATGTAAGCCTCAGTGGTACCTTTCCATTCAATGAAGATGAAGACATACATGACCAAATCCAGAATGCCGCTTTCATGTATCCACCTAATCCATGGAAAGAAATTTCTCCTGAAGGTAGTATCTGTTTGTGACTGTTTATATAAAATGATAAATAAAAGTAGTTCTATTTTGCCCCCCCCTCCCCGTACATACTGGTGAAAAAAATTTGAATGTAATGTATTGTCTCAGGTTTGTGCTATCAGCTGCTTTACACATTTCCTGCAGAGCATGTGTATTACATGTGGCGTAATCCCCTAGAATGAGATCTCTGCGGGAGGTGTAGCAGGAGGCACGTAGCCACGTACAGGTTGGGTTGCTATAGAATCTTGTGGGGAACCTCAGCTGCTGGGACTGGTGTTGCTTATATTTACTTCTGTACCTCTTCTTTCAGCTCTAGTGCCTCTGCAGTCTTTTTCTCATTCTACTTGTGCCAGTACTTTAGTTTCTGTTCAGTAGCATACTGTACCCTGATAGTCTTTCTGTGGAGAAGATAAAAAATAAATGGAACAATTCCAAGCAGATGAGGTTTCAAGAACAGTGTGAGAATGTGTCAGAGAAGCGGCTTTCTGCAGAGGAGGGGAGGCTTGGAGATAACCATCAAGACTTGAAAATAGAATTCTGATCAATGACATCAAAGGTTTTTGACAGTAAAAGAACAATGTGAATAATTCGCTATGTACATCTTTAAAGAAGGTAAATGAATTCTATGAAAGATGTCTCTAAACACTATAAAGTAGGGCATTTAACAAAAAGATCAGTTCTGGTTTTACCAACATTTTCTTGTACATAACAGACATTTTCAGGCACCTTCATTTTCTTTGGGATTTTTTTTTTAAGTCATTTTCTTTATGTCCTTAACTTTTTGCAAGATTGCTCCGTAAGTCTTAAAAGCAAAGGAAACATTATAAACATCAGATTATTATTTTTTTTCTGAATTGTAGTATATACCAAATTGAATTAAAATACCAGCATTTATAACTTCTGATATTTACAGCACAGTTTTTCTGGGTTTCAGATGACATGTTTAACTTGCATCTTAATGGTAGCTTAGAGAAGTGTGCCTGCTGCTCACTATAATATATGTTATAGCCGTGTGAGATTCTCAGCTGAAAAATGCTCCGAGAGCATTGTCTGTTGTTTTATCTCGGTGGCAGATGAGGTTTGATCAGATCTGTTGGGAAACCAAAAAAAAAAAAAAAAGAAAGCAGCTATAAATCTGCACAATTACACACTGAAGTCCTCCTGAACCTCCACACACTTCTGATATGTATGCTGACAGAATCTGTTGGCAGCATTGCTTTATCTGGCGAGAGAGATAAGCAAACAGCAATCAACACAGAAGAGGCTGCAAGAAATTGTCTCCCACAAGTTTCTGCTGTGGTAGACAGAAGATAATTTCTACATTCAGAGGTGAAGATTCAGTAAAGCACCTACAGAAAACTCACCTACTGGGGTGTTACCTCTCCTTTCGTAAAATCACAGCCTTCATTAAAAGTTAATGGATATCAGGCAGCAAGCATGCAGAAGGGTGGGAAAGGATACACTTTAACAAATTACTAAATTGAAATCTGTTTATACATTGTGATTTTATTATATATTTTTAATTCCTAGCTGATGAGCCACTCTGTTGTGCTAAATGAAAACCTGAAAAAAGTTCGAATAGATCCATTCTGTTCAACACAGGGAGTTGGAGTCTAGATCTCTGTCCAAGTATTACTTGATAGTGCTGACTTATAGCTCAAAATTGAACTCAAACTCCAAATTAGCTAGGGGAAACAAAGGAACAGTATTCTCATGTCAGCTACTCTGGTCCACACTCCTGTGCAGGTCACAAGCGGGCAGGTGCCTGGGCCCTGGACACCTGCTGGCCCCATCCAATCTGTGTGGTCTATGACCATATAGCATGGTAAAAATGGAAATCTGTGCCCGGTATCCTAACACATCGAATCTGGATTACAATTCTGAACAGTGCCCTGATAATTGATGCTATAAATTGTTGAAGCATTGGGGGGCAAGCACAGATGAGTATTTGAAGATTTTATGAAGTTGCTTACTCAACATTACAGATAAAAACAATTTTAAAATTTTGTATAATTAGGTGTGAGCTATAGTAACATGAAGCTCATTTCAAGCTAAAATACGCTCACTGGGGCTCATAAATTTCTCAGCACTGTGCCATGAATCTACAAAATTCAGACAGAGAATTAGTTTCCATCCCAACAGGTTACATTTGTGTACTTGAAAATCTTCCATTAGCTTGTGGTAGGCTCTTCCAGCTTCCTAAACAGGTTAAGCTAATGAATGGGGTATTTGCCTACCATATCTTTTCCATTATTCTTTGTGCCAATTATTATTAATCACTGAAGATTTTTCAACAGAAGTTTTAACATACATGGCTGATTACTTTTTGTGATATTTTAATTTTCATATAAAAAGACCCATAATGGATTTCTTTTAAAGGCACAACATGGCTGATTACTTTTTGTGATATTTTAATTTTCATATAAAAAGACCCATAATGGATTTCTTTTAAAGGCACAATAGATTTTTTGTTTAACTGTTTCCTGGAATTTGTATCATAGTAGTAATTCTCCCAAGAGGACATTAATTAACATAAACCAGTTCTTCCACTCAGGCTTGTAAGGGAGTTATGTCGCAGTGTGGAATGTAATGCTGCAGGAGAATCCAGTAAATTCTTTGTAAATAAATATTGATCAACCTGTGTCTTTCAAGCTGATATGATTTGAAATTGCTGTTTGTCTTGAAGGACCTACACAGATCTCTTCTTGCAAGAAGCATTATCCATTGTTTTAAAATTCAGACAAAATTATTTAAGTTACATTTTTACTTCTAAGACAGAAAAAATGTTGAAGATCCAGCAGTTAGTCCAATTTATTTATTGACATTTAAAAACTTGTGTAAATATTTGAGAGCTTTAACACATAATAAACAACCACAGTCTTCACAGAAGCCTTCAACCAAAATTTTGCTGCACTGCTATAGCATTATAAAGTTGAAACCAAAATTGATTAGACAAGTATTGTTGTTGCAGATAAAAGAAATACAAAGTAAATATTATCTTTAATAAAGGTAAGAAGGATCTTTTTAAGGTGCTTTGCCATGCACTAAATTCTAAACTGTACTGATAAGGCGATAGATCTGTGAAAACACATGACCCATAACAGTTCAAACTGTACGATTATATAAATAATACACTTAAAGTGTAGCAGGTACTGAGTAAACACATATGCAAAGAAACACTATCTTGGAGGAAGAGTGCGTCATCAGTGTAGTAGTGTGGTCTGTGTTGGTTTGTTTTCCCAAGAACTACTTTTTCTGTAGCATTTTCTAGCGATTTTTCAAATAAAAGTCTGCAGTCACAAGCCAAGAAAGAAGGCAGAATCCATTTGAGAATAATATTTTTGAGTGTTTAATGTCTTTCAGTCTCTATCAACAGTTCTGTCTTCTCTGCCACTCAGGAATGTGGTCTAGTCACTGACTATGGCTCTTTTCTCTCCATAATGTGTCTGTCTGACATCAAAACATCTGGATTAATCTCATCAGCT